TTACCTTAGAGATGTGTCTCTGTTTCTTTATCCTTGACAATGTGCGAGAAACTTAGTTGTGTGACTTGCTCCACTGAAGACCCAAGAGGCAACTAGTTCCCTTAAGAGTTGGTTTCAACTCATGGCAGCCCCACGGGTGTCAGAGTGGCACTTTGTTACAAGGGATTTTTTCTCATGGTGGTGACAATTTGGAATTGGGTTGCCAGACCTCTCTTCCAAGGTGCTCCCAAGGGTGTTTGAACTACCAAACTTTGGGTTATTAGCTGTGCTTTATCATTCTGTCACCCAGCTCATTCTGGTTCATGATAGCCCTGTGTGGGTTGTCAAAATCAAACATGTTTAAAAGCACTCTGAAAATTCAAGGAGGAGGACTGCGTCAACAATGTGGAATACCATAGACCTTCAGGTGACTTACGTATCTCAGTATCATACAAACTAAGCAAGTCCACGGTCCAGAGGGGTCGGAAGCAACCTAAGAACCAATGCGAGCATCCCAGTGGTGAGAGGAGAGATCGTTTCTCGCATGCCATACGTCATACTTTTTCCGTGGTATTCGCGCTGTGAGAATTCCCCTGCGTGATTGCTCTTGGTGAGGCATTTAACAGGTAACCGCTGTAGGTAGGCTTTTGGCGGAGAGGCTGAGGCTGTTTGAGAAAAGGTCATCGTGACGACGGGCAGAACAAGAGCTTTGTAAAGAGTCTTAAGCGCTCACCTTTCTTTCTTCCTTTGGGTCCCTCCTTTGAGTAGTGAAAATGACACACATGATTTTCGTTATTGACAACAATAGAAATTCAAAGAATTCTTATGGACAATAGCTTTTTTTGGCTGGGGGGGCGGGGTAAATGTAATTAGGATTTATTTTTATTCTCTGTTTTCTGCGTCCCAACAGTTGCTCTGCTCTTCGGTTTAAAGCTCCTGATTTCGCGGTAAATGGAGGCCAATCCGGAGAAGAGGAGTTGGGCATGATTTATCTTTTCAGTTTCTGAGTAAAAACTGGGACTACTCTGCTTGTTTGGTTTTTTTCTCCTGGGGTTTCTAACATGAAGATCACCCCTTCAATTTCCATGTTAAATTTCAAATCTTAATGAAAAACATCACATTATGGGCAGAGTTCTTAGTAATTACATAATTGTCCATAGATTGTGATTATCTGGTACATTCTTTGGCCTTGAGGTTACTTCCCTCTAGTTTTATCAAGAGATTATCAAGGGTTGACATAAGAGGTTTACATTAGTTGTCATCATTGATTTTTTTCCCCTTGCCCTGGGTGTCCTGTGACAGGTGTAGCATCAGGATTTTGGTCCAGGTGTGATCAATCCCTCACAGATCTTCTCCCTAAGATTTGCTGTCTCTGGAGACTACATACTTCTGGAGTTGGAGCTCCCAAAGCCAATGGAAGCCAGGTTGTGACAGCTCTCCGTCATCACATCCTGACATAGGGTCTTCTGAGCAGGGCTCAGGAGCTGCCTTTCCTCCCAGGTGAACGTTACAGCCACTTCATTGATGTCAGTGTGTCCCTTGTGGGAAGTTCACGCTAAGCCTTCCCAGTCTGAGGAAGTAGGTTCAACAGAACATTAGTAGCTATTTAAGATATTATTTTTCCAGCATTTACTATAAGAAGACTTCACTATTAAAAAAATAGATCAGTATTTTGACACATTATCTTCACATTCCTAATGGAATTCTCCTTTTCATCAGGAATTGTAATACTGTTAAGCCTAATTTCTTTATAACTCTAACCAGACTTGCAATTATGTTTCCCAGTGGATTAAAATATGACCAATGACCTAAAAATATGAATCCGAGTGGTATTTTCCCTGTGCCATATTTCTTTAATATCTCTGAAAAAATCATAAGACTTTCTTTAAGTGCTTAAAAAAAAGGAACTCTAGATCAAGTTTTAAAAATAAAAGGATTTTTTTGAAATATCAAAACGACACTTAAGTATCCTAAAGTAATATTTTATTTTGAATTGTTTCTATTCCTTCCAAGTTCAAAATGAAAAATGAGTTAATGACTGTGGAATATATTTGTAATCCAACAATCATGAATTTTACTTTCTTTACAAAGAAATCTGTTTTAACCATAAATCACACATATATGTGTAACTGCATATCCACTCCACTAATTTATTGAGCTATTAAGTCTATTGCTCTCACAATTCTCCTAGGGAAATTCCAGGAACTGAAGAAGTATTTGAAAGATTTCTTCCTACATGAGGTGACATTATTGAGGCTAGCTAAAATATTCCAATCCAGTATGTTTAAGAGTGAAGAATAAGATATATTTCACATAATTTGCAGCATCGCGTGATCAAGTAGGACTCAGGAGGTATGATTCTCTGCTCACTAGCTGTGGGGTACACTTAGACTCCAGCAAAATGGCTTGTCTTCTCACACATTGAGTTTTCTGGTGGATTATTGGCTGCTTTGCCTACCTACAATTGCAAGTTCAATGAGATAACTGAAGTGAGATTTAATATATATATATATATATATGGTTATGTGAATTAGATAGGGTTATACAGTTCCAAACATCAATTTTGCATTCAACAGTTTAGACATTTATTATTAAAGATTGTATTAAACATTTCTATCAACTCCCCCTACTCCCGCCTCCACTTATTCTTCCCACTCCTTTGTGAAGTGAAAATGTTTTGAAAGAGTGATGGCTGTTATTGTCACCATCATTTGGGCAGTATTTGTTCTTCGCGGAGGTTACAAAAATGCTTTTGCCATTAAAAGATTTTCTATTATGAAGTAATTTATGCTTTCAGGTCATCCGTGGTAAATGTCCTTACTTATTTCTGTTGGGATGGATTTTCCACAAGCAATACATCTGGTGAGTACAACGCTTTCTCCTGTCTTCGTTCCAATGGCAATCCTTCTTTAAAGCACTTGATTATTTATTGTAACACTCAACAAGAAGGCCATGGTCAAAAACCAGCTTGACAGATACTTTCAAGTCTCCATAGATCCCACAGTCAAACCAAGACTGGAACTCACTTTAGGCCCCCCCAGAGCAGAATTTTACAGACTTGCACTTTCCCATTGAGCCTGTACTGTAGAACTCTCTTCACCAAGAATGGTTTTGTGGTTTTAGGCAGGTCTTTCAATATTCCCAGGCCTCAGTTTCCTTAGATGTAGCATGAGTGATTTTGTCTAGATGGTCTACCCCTGACAGTCTATGCTTCCATGCTATCTTATATGCCCCTCCTGGAAGAACTCACCAAATCCTAAGTGATTTAAGAAAATAACTACAAATAAGACCTTGTAGTCAGGGCAGATGGACATAATTTCCTCTGGCTTCTAAAAGAAAGCCTCTCTCCTCATTTGTTAATGGTCCAATGAGTAACTTTTTATAATCAAATCCTCATCAAAAAGGAAAAGGAAAAAAATATATAGCATATGCAGTTTGTTTTTATTGTATGCTGTGCAGTGGATCCTGAATATATTCATTAGAATTAAGCAGGTCTGCAATATCTGGCACAGTCCCCCAAATTCTGGCCTATCCACAATTCTACAGGTCCTTAAAAGCAGAATTGTCACAAGTTGCTTAGTTGAGCTCTCAAGATAAATTAGTTGGTAACATAGGCTCCCGTATAATTGGCATATGAGTGACACTCGGCTATACAATTTCACATCTAATCAAGTAAAAATTCAACTTGACCTGTTGTCTCTTTGAATCTGACACTGGACGGACTCCAACTGGTGCAAATGCAGCTCTGTAAAAGTGAGGTGGGCAGAAGAAACATACTATCTATTTTTTGAGCTACAGAACTGGTGGATGAGACAGTGCCTTTCACATGGTCTAAACAATGCTATGAATGTGTAGTTGATTAGTTTCCTACAAGTTTTCAAAGATTAAAATGTCATTTTCCCTTCTGTTTTCCACGACCATTCTAATGGGGACGATGTTGTGAAGACATTGACCATGCTGGATATACCTTCACGAAACCATGCTTGATGGACACAGAGATTCAAAGCTCAGCTTCTGCCTGAAAACTTGTCATCATAAAGGAGAGAGGAAGAAATATGGAAAATCTATGAAAGTGTAATAAATGCAAAGTTGTACTTAATTAAGGGCTAAAACTTATTTGAGAAGTCAGGCAGTGCTCAGGGACCACCTATGAGAGGTAAATTATTGATGACTTGAACAATTAAGACAAGAGCGCTCCATGGTGATAGACTGGTAACGAGACGTGTGTCCTTCTCTCCAAGGATGGGTAGAATTTGAACATGCAGGACTGTGATGGGATGGCAGCCGCAACTGGAAAGCAGGAGGAACAAAGGCTTGGTGGGAGAAGGAGGGGATGTAAACTCAGGAGACTTCAATAAGCTGCAGAGGGTGGCGGAGGACTAAGGTGGTTACAGTGGGGGAAAGACGTTGGACGTCTTTAACAGAAGGTCCTATACTTAGATTAGATGCTGTTGGTAACTCGTTCTGGAACGGTGAAATGACTTGATGGTGTCACACGCCTGCTAACGACTAGTTTAACAATGGTGTGTGTGCAAGATGAAGGGGAAAAGAAAGGCATAAAGTACAGACCACAATTTAGGGACTCGAGGGGAGGCAGAACAGACTAGAGCCAGCCTTGTGCCTCAGTTGCAAGAACAGTTTGTTTGTTTCAGCTGAGCAGGGTTTATCGGTAGAGGAGGTGCATACTGATCGTCTACATGGGGGGAAGGAAAATAAAGTCAAGGAGTTGTTATTGTTCTCCAGAAAGTGAGTCCCACCTAGTTTTGACAGGCCCGTGTCTTGAATCAAGGTGTCCCATCTTCCCCCAACCCCCAAAACCCCACTGTGCCATCTGCTTATTTTCTCAGTTGTAACATTACTGACATTATTTAGCAAATTTTGTCATTCTTTAGTTATATGTGCTTAATTAAGTCATACCTTTATAATCCTAGAAAAGTTATCAAGGAAATGAAGCATAAAACATATTTTGTTTTATTATTTGCCCAGCATAAAATATGATCTGCCAAAGGCAAACAAGACATGTGCTTGCTTCGACAGCACACCTATTAAAATTGGGATGACGCAGAGAAGATTCGCATGGTCCCTGTGCAAGGATGACATGCAAATTCACGAAGCGTTCCATATTTAGAAAACAAACCAAAGCAAACAAGACAGTGTAAACTTCCACAGGGGTGGTGGCAGTGGCAGAAGAAATTGTAGGAACACCTCCAAGTCTACCCTTAGACAATGTTAGTAATTGACTATGAATGATCAACGGACAGTTATTTGGGAAGCAAAAAGGCTAATGAGAATAAATTAAAATTGCTGAATGTGAGATTTTTCCAAGCAGCTATTTTCCCTTGTTTTCTTCCCTTTTCCTTTTTTCCTTGGTCACAAATGGGAATCTGCGTGAGGCAACATGTTTTGGTTGCATGGATAATCTTTCTTTCCTTCTCTTCTACTTGGCCTCGTGGTTCTTACAAGGGCCATGCTTTTCTGGGAGACTATACCTGTGGTCATCAGGAGCCCTGGTGGCACAATGGTTCAGCATTGGGCTGCCATCCACAAGGTCAGCAGTTTGAAACTGCCAGCCTTTCCTCAGGAGAAAAGACAGGGCTTTCTAGTCCCATGAAGAGGGACTGACTGGGTGGCAGTGAATTTGGTTTGGGTTTTGTTTTTTGTA